ATCCCTTTTTTATCCTTCTCTGTGATTTGGGAGGAGATCTTAAAACCGAGGGACACCCCCACACCACGCCTTAAAATCTCTCCTTCACTTTCCCCTATCCTCTCTTGTTTTTTTTTTTTCCCCCCTGGAGCGGGGGGGGGGGGGGGGGGGGGGTAGTTCTTTCAAAAGGTAGTTCTTCCTCCTTAACTCAGACTAAATGTCTAAGTGTTGAGATGCTCCAGGGTCCCTCTACTCTTCTCTACAGCACTCTCTCTCTGGATCTAGGAACTAGATGTCACCTAGAACCATGGCTTTAAATACATACTACTGCAAGCTGGTATCATCAGCACTGGTCTCTCTCAAGTACCCAACTAGTTTATCCAACTGCCTACATACCGCGTCCATTTAACTGTCTAGCACACATCTTAAATTAGCATTGCCAAAACAGAGCTCCTGTTTCCCACCACTCCCCTCATCCATCCTGTGCCTCCTCTAGTCATGCCCACTTTAGCAAGTAAATAGCATTACCATCCATTTAATTGCACAAACAAGAATCTTAGGGTCACCCTGGTCGGTTTGGCTCAGTGGATGAAGCGTCGGCCTATGGACTGAAAGGTCACAGGTTTGATTCCGGTCAAGGGCACATGCCCAGGTTGTGGGCTTGAACCCCAGTAGGAGCCATGCAGGAGGCAGCCAATTGATAATCCTCTCTCATCATTGATGTTTCTGTCTCTCTCCCCCTCTCCCTTCCTCTCTGAAATCAATAAAAATATATTTTTTTAAAAAGAATCTTTGGGTCATTCTTGAAGTCTTCTTTCTCATTACGTCCCACAGCCAATCGAGTACTACTGTTATTCTATCTCCAAAATATACACCAAGTTTATATACCTCTATCTCTATGGCTACCACTCTAGAGAACAAGTCCACATCACCACTTAAACTAGACTAGTGAAATAAAGTCAGCTGGTTTCCCTCCTTCCACTCTTGCCCCTACAATCCATTCTCCACACAACAGTCATTCTCCAAATATAGTATCTTAAAAATACAAGTCAGAATACATTACCCTACTTAAAACCCCACTGCAACAGGAGTAAAATCCACTCTGTCATGGCCTGTACTGCCCTAAGTGATGCCAAACCCTGCCTGCCTATCTCTTTAGACTCACTTCCCACCATTTCCCCACTCACCAGGCTCAGCTATCCTGGGTCTTTAATTGAACCAACACACCAAGCTCATTACCAACTCAGGCTTTGTATCTGCTGTGCCCTCTGCTTCTAGCTCTTCACGTAGATGGCGCCATCTTGTTATTCCTGTCTCAGCTCGGAGATGACACCTTCCCTCACCACCTAGCCCATATAGCACCTCCCTCCAATCATCATCACAGAACTGCTTTATTCTCTTCATAGTTCCAGCTTTGACTATTGCTTAGCACAAAGTAAATTTGTGAAAAAATGAATGAATAAATAATCAGAAATAGGAAGAAGAGGAAACATAATATACCAGAACAGACTGATGATTATCATTAGTTAGAAAAAAAAGATCAAAAGACTAATTTGCTTTACAGATTTTTAACACTTCCCCTCTGTTTCGGGATATAACACAAACTCCTTAGTACAGCTCTGGTCCTACTGAACACTCCTTCTCATCTCTTGGCATCTCTATGACTAACCAACCCCACTGGAAACTCCAAGCATGCTACAATTTCTATCTTTTCCTTTCAAGCATTTACGCTGTCTACCAGACCAGATCAACATTCCTCTCTCTACCTGGAATCCCTTCTTCCTCAAATTCCTTTTTAGCCAGTTTCCATTATTATCTTTTTCAGTTTCAGCCTAGACACTGACTCTTCTAAGAAGCCTCTCCAAACCTAAGGCTGTACTGGAACTCATATGTTCTCCCACAGAACTTATTAACCTATATCATTAGTATCTGTTAACTCCTCTGTCTCCCTCATTAGACTCTAAACTGTATGGGGCTCCACACTATTTTATTCACCACTATATCCCTAGGACTTACCATAATACCCGTTACACAGTAAATAATTTTTAAAACAGTGTTGAAACAAAATTATTACGCTAACAATTTAAATTCCTATCTACAATAGGCTACTCAGTCATTAGTATTTACTAAAAACACACAAGGTGCATAGTGTCGCACTATGCAAATAACCCAATATACACCAATTCCTAAACTTTAAACGTATACTACCTAAATCAGTAACACTCTTGTTGAATTGTATGGACTGTCATCTAGTTTTTCAACACTCTGAGATAAGTTGTAATAATTCTTTACAAGCAAGAACACTTGAAGGTAACAGCACAGGAACTTTGTCCTTGCAAATAAAACTCCATTCCAAACCTAGTTTGTCAGCCAGATCAAAGTAATACGTCAATACAACAAACATGAATCTCTCCATCAGAATAACTTGAGGTTTACTTAGAATGTTATTTTTAAATGATATTAGTCAACTCATGTACTGTATCTCAAAATGTTAAACATCATGCTGTCAGCACATGCAACTGGGAAGATCTTACCTCTGTTATCATTTTACAGCTTTTACAGGGTCCAATCTGACTAAATAACTGAAGTATAAGAACTTCCGTCACATCTCTGGAGAGGTTACCTACATATCTGGACACAAAAAAAAAGAGAGAAAAAATAAAAAGAGAAAAAATCAGTAATTTTCTTTCAGCTCTGGCTCTAATGTGTTATTATTTAACTCATCACCTTTTAGTTCATTTTAACTTCCTGTCTTCATACAGATATTCCAATTAAGACTGATTCTATGAAAGTAAAATTAATCCTTATTTAGGAAAGCAACAAATGTTCTTAGGCCACTAATGAACCACTTGAAAAGACTTTTATAAAGAACAAATTAACATAACCATGTATACCAAAAGCAGTTTTCTCATCTCATTAGAATAAAAATAATGAAAACTTAAAGCAGTCTCAAGATAACTACAATTTTTTAATGTGAAGCACAATTTAAAATAATGCATAACACACACACACACTCACAATTATTGACTTATCAAAACACCTGATCGTAAAGGGATATCCTTTTATATTAGATGTAAAGGAATATAACATGAGTTTATCTTAGACCTCCAACCAAAGCAATTACATGAACAAAAAAGAGAGTTAAAGTTATAGCAAAACACACAGAAATCAGAGGGGTTTGTTTTGTCTTGCTAAATAAAATTGTTATTGATATTATGTCTCGTTTGTTTTAGAAGAGCAGAGTAAAATAATAAAATTTCCTAGCCTAAAACACATCATAATCAACAAAATACGCATTTATCTAGATAAAGCAAATATAAAGACTTCTTTAGAAACTCCGAGAAAATTTAAGACAAATACAGCTATACTTCTGACTATGCCTAAAGAGTTGGGATTGGTTTTTGTTTGTTTGTTTTATAAATTGAGTATATATATTTTGTATAAGAAGTTTAAAACACAGCCTGGCCAGCATAGCTCAGTGGCTGAGTGTCGACCTATGAACCAGGAGGTCACAGTTCGATTCCGGTCAGGCATATGCCTGGGTTATGGGCTCGATCCCCAGTGGGGTTGTGCAGGAGGCAGCCGATCAGTGATTCTCTCTCATCGTAGATGTTTCTATCTCCCTCTCCCTCTTCCTTCCTCTCTGAAATCAATAAAAATATATTTTAAAAAACATTATCTAAAAAGAAGTTTAAAACACAGATGAATTTTTAAAAGGAAAAAAGAACACCATCACCCAGAGATGACCACCTTGGTTTTTCTTGTACCATGGATTTATTGTAATTTAGCTTACTTAATTGTCAAGTTTTTAAGTCTTTCTGGTACTCAGTGTAATTCCTATAATTTGCCTGTTATGAACCTCACCAAGCAAACAATATTTGTAAAAATTAACAGTTTCTTCTGGAAAGTAAATGGACATACGTTTTTTATTTTCCTAATATGAAACATATGGAAACTTAGTACCGAGACCAAAATAAGCTTTGCATCTATTAACATATTAAATACGTAACTGCTTTAAGACGGAACACTTTGTGAAAGGAGAAAACAGAGAAAGGTAAAGTTACGTGTAATAAAGAAAATTATCTGATTAGGAATGAATAGCCACTTTCCAGTTCAACTAAGAATTTCATTGCAATGGGTACTAATACCTTTAATTTATATGCTCTAAAACGGAAACACAAGCCCAATGTTAATTAGTAGAGGACTAACCCAGTGACAAACGTGTTTAGGTCCACCCATACCATCTTTTCCTTACAATTAAAGTAGAACAGACCCATTGCTAGGGCATACAGTGACACACCTCTTCCAGCAGTAGTGAAAGGTTATAGACCAGGGGTCCTCAAACTTTTTAAACAGGGGCCAGTTCACTGTCCCTCAGACTGTTGGAGGGCCGGATTATAGTTTTGAAGTAAAAAAACAAAACGGGAACAAATACAATATTTGTATTTGCATGTGGCCCGCGGGCCGTAGTTTGAGGACCCTTGTTATAGACTTACGAGTTAGCAAGACAACTACCTGTCCCTTTTCAACTCATAGGGGGTTTGTGAGCAATCATGGATGGGATAATTTATTTTTTGTACAAGGTAGACCTCTCTATAAAGAAAGTGAACAAGTAACCCTGGTCTCCTAAGTGCTATGTTCATCTAACCTAAAGTGCTAGTTAGCTCATTTTTAAGAGAATTGGCGTGGATAAAACTAATTTTCACATATTGAAGCTAACAAGTAACAAAGTTAAAACAAAACGATCACTGTGGTATAACAAATTTTAAATAGTTTTAAATCTGTATTACTGCTTAAAACCTTGATTTGTTGCACAGGCATTAATTACCTTCCATATATAACAGTCACAATCAAAGCTGTTACTGTTTCATAGGATTTTTATTTCAAGCCAATCTATTCCAATACATTACAATTTTGAAGAATTTCTAGAGGCACATTTAGATATATTAACTTACATCTCAAGCACTGATGCCAAAGAGCAAAAATGTTAACCAACGTTTAGAATGACATTAAATACTTATAGAAAAACCTAGTTTTAAAATGTTTGCTATTTTTCAAATATCTCCACTAAAAGTTCTGTAGTAAAGCAGCAAACTTCTTTCTGCTCTGGTTATGAAGCAGTCCATTTATTTTAAAGTTCCAAGTGTTTAAATATAAAATTTCAACTCAAAGATCATATATAAAATAACAGAAAAAGACAAATGACTCAAATTTTGTATTGGGAGGTGAACTCAGAGTAAACGATTTTTAACTCAAGAAAAAAGAAAGGCATACCTTAGGTCTATTTTATCTTCTAAGAACAGGAACTGTAGGAACTAAAGCATTAAAAGTGGAAAATGATGCCTTTATCCCTAACATCAGGGTTAAAATTCAATTTAAGACTAGAAACTTCGCGGTTGCACAGTAGGCAAAAGTTCACATTGCTAAACTATTTCCTATGTCCCACTGGGCAGGATTTTAAGTTAAGAACATCATGCCTTTCAGAGAAAAGACAAATCACACATTTCACCATTGGATGTTTTCTTACTCTGAAAAGGGTAGGCCTACCAGGGCTGAAATTACCAACATTTTTACAAAACATAACCAAATTTCTCTAATAAAATAATATTTTTACTTTTGTTCTTGAGAAGTTCCTATACAAGAGGAGATTTTGCAACAATACCCTTCAGTGGGCATCTAATGAATTATCAATCTGTCAATATTTCATTTAAGGTAGGAGGCAAGGTGCAGGAAAGGTACAGGTGAATTGATCAACTACATAAGAGACACTGATAATACATTTTAAATAAGCAGACAATATGATTAAGTTGAAAGGCTTAATTACAGCCATTAATACAGGCAAATCCATGGTGTAGCTAGTCAATATTATAGTGGAACTTAATAGTATTTTCTTCTGCTATTGCCCTTATTCAGATTATACTCTAAATCATTGGTTTATTTCCTCCGTTTGACTGAGTATCAGGAAGGACAGTTGTAAGGGATGACATTGCATAACAAGGTATAATCCCAGATCCACAATTTCTACTCATTTTGGTGCATCAGATGGATGAAGAAAGTAAACTATCATAGAACACCATTATAATTGAATGTTGATTGCAGATTCAGATATACCATGGCTCAAATCACTGCATTTAGAGCTACCCACAACACGTCTGAAATGTGGGTCCTACAAGGTAAGCTCTCAGGCAGTCCAGTTCCAACATCAGTTTTACGTAGCATGATCTCATTTGTTTGCTTTTTTAAATCACAAGTTACCCAATACATATTACCCCAAAATAAATGTCAAATGAGAATGGAGAACAGCAGAAAACAGACCTTTAAAGCAACTATTTGAAAAACTTTAGGCTCAACATCAAAGCAATTCTATACCACTTTAAATACCATCGAATAAATTAGTAATACTGTAGGTAATGAATATTTAAAGACCTACCTAGGCTATAAACACCATATTGTTTTCTGATGATAGAACCATATGTCTTAGCTTGTGTGTGTCTGCAGGAAAAAAACCTCACTAGTAACACACAGGCATTTTAAAGAAACAGAGTACATTATCTTTTAAAACATACTGGCCACTTGAAAACCTAATCCGTAGATCACAATGTTAAATAAAAGGAGCTCCATAAATAAACAAAATAAAACCCTACTAGATATCAATCTCTACAGTCACATTCAAAAGTTTTTTATTACAGTAGTTGTATCTAAAGAACCCTTTCAGGAGTAATATGTAAAATAAACACTTAAAACTACTATGCATTGTTTTTTTTAATTAAAATCTGATCCCCCAAAAAATCCCAATTGTGAAACATCTGCTTTTACTTCAAAATTTTACATTTGAAGGTTTTAAAATATATATAAAATCAACAGACAGCATCATGTGCATATGACAATCAAGTCTGCCTATAATTTTAAATCAATCGGACTTTTTTTTTTAAAAAAAAAAGGACTTAATACTAATTTAATGACAAGAGTATAATCAATGTAAAATATTGAATACCTCTTATTTTCCAGGCAGTGAACTAAGTGCTGCAGGGGTAAGACCTAGGAAGATGTAGCAGTCCTTGTCTAAAAAAAAAAAACCCTTCCCATGAGAATAGTGGGAGGAAGAAAAAGGAAGACAGAATAGTAAGCATGTACATCAACGCTCAAGACGTTTCCTTACCGATGTGTATACATGTCACATTTTAGACAACTGTAAACACAGATAAAGTCAGTGTGTTTGGGAGAAAGAAGAAGGGACAGGTTGGAAATAAGAGACAAAAAAGTTAGCTTATTATTATTAGTCAACTGAGGAAAGTCTAAGTATGATGGAGATGAAGACAAGACAGATGCAGAGATATATGAATTAAAAGTATTGAAATAGCATATTTTTAGCACGGCAAAAAACAAGAATTTCTCTTCATAAGGAACAGTTAAATAATGAGAAATATGCCATGAGAATTTACCAATTATACAGCAGCTATTATGATGCAATCATGACATTTCAGATTTTTAGATACAATGTAACCTTTTTTAAAAAAGTTTTTATTTATTTTAGAGAGAGAGAAAGGGAGAGGGAAAAACATTCACGTGAGAGAGAAACAGGTCTGCTGCACACCCTAACCAGGGATGGAGACTGCAAAAATGGAACTGGAGGCCTTTCACCAGCCAGAGCAATACAATGTTGTATTTTTGTTAAATACATGCTAGCTGGGCTCCAAATCCAACTTTCCCAGATACTTCCATCAAAACACACACTAACTAAATATCAAGCCTTGGCTTCAACAGATGTTAAGGAACAAATTTCAAGTTTGTCCCATTCCCTTTCTGGGAAAAGAAGGCCAAAATGGAAGACGGAACAAAACAAACATAAAAGTTTCACTAAGCAGGCTTTTCATTCAAGCATTTGGTGCTTAAGTTGGCCTCAAATTCTCAAAACAGGATGGCAACTACTTTAGTGAGGCAGAGCAATAGGCATGAAAAAGTGCAAGTCCCCCCCCCCCCCCCCAAAAAAACACAACGAAACGCCAAGCCTGCACCGATACGGTCCAGGCATCTCTCTGCTTTACTGAGCCAGCTTTTCTTTGGTAAGACCCCAGAGATGAGAAGCTAGTCGGACTTCCTGAGGACCTGTCCCCCTGCATCTGCTCCCCAAAAAGTAACGTGCCCATGACATCGCAGAGCCAGGTGAACTATGACCCTAGCAACGCCAGGCGGAGGCAAGAGGAAAAACAAAGCAGCGATTGGGCTCCTTGGACTCCAGGTGGGCGCTGAGCTTCGAGAGGCGAGGAAAACCCAAGGTGCCCAACATAAAACATGGAACTAGAAGTTACCCAGACTTTTATTTTTAATGCAGGGAAAAGAAAGGAGTGCCCACACTATCCAGAAAGGAATGCAAGTGCTGAGTCATCACTCTTCGGTAGGAAAGACACTCCGGCCAGCGGTGGGAAGAAGAAACTCATTCATTAGACTGGGCTCCAGGTAACGAGCAAGAGCGAGCGGGCAGAAAGCGCGTGCCGACGACACACAATGAGCGGTGGGTACAGAGCATCGTTTTATCCAACCCCGAGGGTCCGGACAGATGGAGAAGAGGCAACACCGAGAGGACAAAAGCAGCTGGACCAGGGGCTGTCAGGGCAGCGCAGGGAGCGCTCGAAGGAGACTTCGTTATCCCAGAAGCCCAAGATGCTCCCGCGGCGGGAGGCATCCCTGCGCGCCCCAAAGTAGCGGGCGCCGGGCGAGCGTTTCCGACAGCGTGGGCGGGGGCACGTG